GATGTTATTGTCAAGAAAAACCTCCACATGATGATAAAATGATCTTCAATCTCAGCTAACCCAAGAAACTCAAAATGTCCTTGTATTCACCATGCATGGAGATGGAGTGGAGCTTAGGTGGGCTTTCATATTCCTCTTCCTTCGTTCGTCTCTCAGTTATCTAGCCACTGTTTTCCCGTGGGGTAATGCTAGTTGGTTCTCAAGCTAGCACCAAGACTTTTTACTAGTTTGCTCCTAATTTTTCCCACAGGGCAAACAGAAGGTGCATGACTTCGATGCCAGTCTTTATATATATTTTTTGTTAAAACACAAATCAGCATTCGCTCCAACTATATGTCTGTCTTCACAATTTCTTTTCAGCCCTTTTCCTTTCTGCTTCTTCCAAGAGAGAGTGCCGCAGTGGTGCACAGAGAAGCTGAAAGGCTTTCAAAGCTTTCTCTTGTACCTTTCGAAGTCCCATAACCTTTAATTAATTACTAATTAATCGGATTAGTGTTTTCCCCCCTCCACTGACAACCATGGGATTAGTCTATGGCCAGCTTCTCTCTAACCCCTCCATTTTTTCTTGGACGGTCTCTATGTATATTGATTTAGGAAGGAAAAAAACTTGTGCAGTAAATTAAAATCAAATCCATTATGATTTACACGCTTTCACCTGCTTCTTCACAAAGAAAAGTTGACATGAAAAAAGTCAATTGGATATTATAAACAAAGCACGCAGTTCCCAGGTATTTTGGTAGATAAAAAGAGTTAGTTATAGTACAAAATTGAAATGAATGTATTAATCATATTATTCACCATTACAGACGTTTAATTTCTCTCAAAGAAGAGGTAAAACCATGACTTGTTTAATTAAACCATGATTCACCCCACGTAAATTAAAAAATAAAAATAAAAAAATAACAGCACATATTGCTCAAAAAATAATCAAACAAAAATAACAAAACAACTAAACTAATATGGAAGAAAAATTCACTATGGCTATAAATATATTTTTCTATTCAACGCTACAATTAATTTTTTTTTATTCTCTAAAAAATCAAATGCCTTGGTTTTGAGAGTATTTCTATCTTTTTTATATTAGTTATTAAAGAATTGACTAGGATGTACATATATTTTTTAATTTTTTAAGCATAATAAAATCACATGATCACTCTTCAAATAATTTTTTTTTAAAATAAAGCAGATAGGTTTTTATATCCTTTTATTTTTTTAAATATAGTAAAATAACAAGTTCACCCGTTAAATTAAAAAACTTAAATTGTGCATTAAAAAGTCTTTTGATCTTTTCACTCTAGTTTTTCTATTATTACTTAAGTTCATTGATACCTAGTTCTTGTGGGAGGCGTTCACACATTTCAGGTGGCTTCATTGATGCCTCTTAGTGGAAAAAATATTTTTTATTATGTCATTAAATATGTTAATGAATCATTTTTTTATTGGTATGACATGTATTAGTGGTAGTGAGATGATTTATTATCAATAATTTTTTTTTTCTTTCTTATCCCTCAAAATTATATATTAGTCATATGATTTGTTGTTGATATTTGAATTTTAGTCTTTATTTTTTTTGTTTTTAATTTTTTTATAAAATTTTTATCTGTTTTCAATTTTATCATTCAATTCTAATTTTTCATATGCTATTTTTTCTAATTGGTCTTTATTTCTTTGATTTTTATTTGTTTTTCCTGGTCCTTTTGTAAAAGTTTTATTAGTTTTTAATTTTATCATTTAATATAAATTTATGGTATATTATTTATTTTCAATTTAATCTTTATTCTTTTTATTTATGTATCATTTTATTAAAGTTATTTCTCTTTTCAATTTCACCATCTGTTAAAAAAATTATAGTTCTCATCTAATTTATTTTTCATTTTAATTTTTATTCTTCTTTTTTTAATTGTTATTTTTTTTAATTTTTGGTCTTTTCTTATTTTGGATACTTTTGTGCTATTGTATTTTTTTTTATGATTTCATCCGTTAATATTTGATTTATTAAGGATTGAACTTCTATGATTTTTTTTTATATATGATGCTTCTCCCTTGGTCACTAGTTTGAAAAATTAACGGGGTGAGATCTTTATATATATATATATTTCATTATTTGACATTAGTTATATTTTTAAAAAATAGTTTTTTAATTTTTTTTATTCATTAGATATCTATTATGCTAACTTGTGTTGATTTATACTTATTTTTTAATTTAATTTTATCATTTTATATTTAATTAACTAAAAATTAATTATTATTTTTATTTATTTTCTTCAGTTCATATTAAAATAAAAAGAGATTATAACCAGGTTGTTAAATTTTTTTATTTATTTAAAACGCACATGGGATATTTAAACATTGTTTTTTCAAAAAAAAAAAATACAAACTCGCTGTATAGCACGAGACGACGAATAAGTTCTTTTCTATTTTGAAATCCAAAGTAGGAACATTTTAGTTCACCTTCCTACAATTCAAACGAACTTGCCCTCGCTTTCCAGTCAGTGGGTTTATATTCCCCATCTTCATCATAGACTTAGCAAAGTCAGCATAAAAAGCCTTGGCATCTGAGCTATAAGCCTCTACCAAGCTATCAGTGGAGCCTCCATTGAAGAGTTCTTGATCAGAGTGAAGTAACCCTCTTTTCTTCAATAATTTATTGAAGTATTTAACATCAAAGTTTGCATGTGTTGGGTCTAGAGCGGCAAGGTTTGAGTTACCTCCAGTGCGTGGACAGGTTAATCTGCGTTTTCGAGCAAATTTAGGGTCAATGTTAGTTTCATTGTAGATTCTGTCTCTGAAGGCAAAACACTGTGCAGACCCTATAGTGTGGGCACCAGAGAGAGCTACAAGATCTCTCTCATCTAAACCATGCTTTTTGAAGTTGCTGATTAGGTCAGTAAGGTTCATAAACGGTGTTGGGATGTCTTTGTCCGCTGTGGTTTTGCG